CCTTCCCTCACTCACAGCATTGCTGAACCTGTCAGCACTTGCGACCTCCTGGCCACGGAACAGGGGGCTGTGATGTCCCGTGGTCTGGCGCCAGGCTCCATGAAAGTCATATGTCATGAGGCTGATGAAGTCTAGGTGCCTGTGGAAGAAGGGACGGAGGGCGAGGTAGGAATTAGAAAAGCTCTTGGCCTCATGACCACTAGCCCTGCAGGATGTGAGCGGGGCAGTCAGGTAGCTGAGAGATTGAGCACCCACCCAAAGCCCAGTCTTGCCCAGTGACCATCAGTCCAAGCTGTGAGACCCCTCCATCTCCATCTCCACACATTCATTGTGCTGAGAGCAGATTAAAAGAGTCATCCACAGACAGCTTGTGAGCAAACAGCAGGACAAAGGGCACCCAGACCTGCAACCACACACAGAGGTGAGGGGCTGCAGGAAGACTCATGAACCTGACCTTCAGGTGTTGGGGGCAAATGCTTGAGGGCTACCTCAGTCCTACCCTCTAAATGGTCAATTTAAGCTCTGAGTCTCCACCTCCCCCAAACTGTAGAGGATTCTGAAGTCATAGCCAAGCCCTTGCCCTTTACCCCCAGGTTCCTGAGACCCATGCCTTGGCTCCACCTGCCATCAGGCCGCTTGGCCGCGGGCTGCTCCTGCTCACCCAGGGCAGGCTGAGGAGCAGAGGGACCCGCCTGCATGTGGAGCATCTACAGGGTGCCCTGGCCGCTGGGAAAGGAAAAGCCTCCCCAGAGGCAAGCACTCTGCCTGGCCCAGCGTGCAGAAAGTGCCCCGTTGTGGCTGGCTGGTTTGTGCAGCGTTTCCTACTTCCTTTCCACAAATGCCTTCATAGCAACTCTCTCCACTGGTCAGTACGACACCCCAGTGAGGAAGGAAGGATGTGGACTGTTATGGCCATTGGCATATGGGGAGCTTGAGGCACAGAGATGGATTGTGGCTTCCTTAAGGTCACTATCCTGTATCCTCTGAGTCTCCGTGGAGGGCAGTGTGGGCAGGGACTCACTGGGCTAGCTGGAAGATGTCGTAGCCTCTGTCTAGGGCCACCTTCCCTGCGGACACCGCAGCGCTGAGGAGCAGAGACTCTGTTTCCTTCGTGGCTTCCTTTGCAAACTCAGCCTTCATTTCCTGGGTGGGAGAGAGGAAGGCAAGTGAAAGGGATCCTGGCAATGGGAGAGGGGGCCCCCCAGAGGAAGTCTAGGCTCTGAGCACCTCGCTGGCCTCCCCCTGCTGGGACCCCAGCCTGACTGGGGCTCAGTGGAATGACAGGTGGCACATCAGTGGTCCTGTCCTCGGGTTCACCCATCCTTCTAAGAAACTGTTCAGACTCATCTCGCCTCCACCCCACCCGATGCCATCAGCACTCAGTTACTCCTGTCCAACCTGGTGGTGCCGGCCCACCTCCCTGCCCCTGTCCCTGACTCGACCAGCACCTTGACCAGAGTGGTGAGATGCTTCTTGTCCCTTCGTCCAGGGTAAAGCCAGGCAAGGTCCAGCCCGTCAAAGCCATGGGTCCGCAGGAACGGTGCCACTGACTTGATGAAAGTCCTGCGACTCTGGGTGTCTGAGGCTATTTTGGAAAATCTAGGAATGAAATCACCCCAGAAGCGTGCTTAGCTCACCTACTAGCCAAGCCACCCTGCACAGGTTATAACCTGGGTCTCAGTTATCTCATCTGTAAAATGGGGATAAATATAATATCTCAGTGCTGCTGTGAGGATTACATGTGACAGTGGCTGGAAAGGGTGCCTGACACTTAGAACCACTCAGCAAATGGGAGCTGTTATGGCCATGCCCCACTCCTCTGTAAGCCCTGCTCCAACTCTACCCGCTCCAGGACATCCTCCAGGGTCTCCACCCCCAGTTTCCCATCCTTTCTATCCCCTTCTGTCCAGCCCCAGGACAGGACCCCCATAAGTCCTTTGCTGTCAGGTCTGAGACAGAGGAATGAGAATATCCACTGTCAGCTGCTGTGTGACTCTTGGCAAGTCTCTCTTGCTCTGTGAGCGCCACTTTCTTGTTTGGGCCCCTGATGACCATTTCTGCCCCCTGTGCCTAACCCTGTGACCCTCAGACTGTGGGCGAGGGGACATCGGTGTCTCCTCACTCCTATTCCGCCAGCGTCTAGGGAGCGGGTCCTACCTTTCGGAACCAAAGCTCCATCCTCCAACAGACAAGAGGGTCTTCAGGTCGGGGTTCCTGAGGGACATAGGGAGCAGGGGCAGGGTGGAGTAAGGTTCTGTGGCACTGGGAGGCCCCAGCTTGGGCCCCTAAGGCCCTTCCAGCCCTGAGATTCGGTTTCTAAGACTAAGGTATGTTGCCTATTTTTGTCCCACTCCCTTGCCAAGCAGGGTAGCCAGAATCTGAAAAAATAGAGTAGTGAGCAGTTTCCATGGCCCCTGGAGAGACAGGGGAGGACTTCTCCTTCCCAGATCTCAGGTGTGCCCCTTTCTCCTGTGGCCTCCATCATCACCCCAAATACTGCCCAGCACCTGCCCTCGTCACCTCCTCCCACTTAAGCTAAGGCCTCCGATTCTCTACCCAGAGGCAGGTGCTAGGGGTCATTGCCCATACTCTTGAGTAGAGGTGCCCTGCCTGGCGACCAGCTGGCCAACCTTCATCTTCCTCCTGCCCTGGCCAGCCTGTGGCCCAACCTGTTCTTGAGTGTGTTCAACGTGTCATATAGCGTCACATCGTTCCACTCCCAGGTGTCAATCTCATTGTTGCTGATATTGGCAAAGCTGTAGATGATGTGGGTGCAGAGGAAGGGATCAATGGCATCTGGGAAGCAGCTACCGGCCCCCTCTCGATACTGGGACCAGCTGGTGTAGTAGCAGACCAGTTTGTATGCAGCACCTGCGGGAGAAGTCAGGCAGGACCTGGGCCAGGATTCCCCCAGGGACCCTCTCTCTTGCTGAGCCCTGAGCTCAGCTGCACCGGGCAGAGTTGTGAACAAAGGTAGAATTCTAAAGAAAAGGGGTCAGCCCAGGTGCCCGGGAGTTCCCCTGCTGATGAAGAATGAAATGGGACTCACTGCAGCAAGGAAGGCTTCCTGGAGGCTTTGAAGGAGAGGAGGCATCAGCCCATGACAGCCCTTGTCAGAGACCCTGGCCTCAGGGTGGGACCTGGCAGGACCCGCAGTGGGTCCTTGACCTGAGCAGCTCTGGTCGCCTCTTCTCTGCCCTTCTGAGGGAGTGTCCCTGACTCAGGACCCCCCCAGGACAGCAGTGCCCAGGTCCCCCAAGCTGGGCACAATGTCAGGGGACCAGGAAGCTCTTCCTCTTCTCTCTAGCTCACTCTGCCTGCTGCAGAGTGAGCTTTTCTGCCCCCCTGGTTCTGCAGAAAGGACAGTGGGCATTGCTTGTCCACACTGCCACTGAGTCCTTCACCGAACCTGAGCCTTTGAAAGATTTTTATCTTGAAAAAGATCATGTATACAGAAAAGTAGAGAATAGTAAAAGAAACATCAAAATACTTATCATCTCAGTTTAACAAGTGTTACTACTTCTGAGCCACCTGAATCACAGAAGAAACTGGAGAAGTGCTCCCCTCTGCCAACACTTCCTCCCCACACCCCTCCCCACACCCGCCTCCAGGACTCAGAGGGGTTACTTACAGCTCTGAAGCATCAGCAGGGCCACAAAGCCTGTGGGAGAACCCAGGGTCAGACCCTTGCCAGTGCATCTGGCCCCCCACAGGCAGTCGGGCGATAATGGCCAGCGACCCCCCCCCTTCCCCTGCCCCTCC